TACATACATACATACATACATACATACATACATACATACATACATACATACATACATACATACATAAATGAATACATATATACATACATACATACATACATGCACACACGCCCCATGCACAGTTTCACACAGTCTTGTTTTACCCAAAAGTTGTTCTCTTCATCACCTTACACGAAATAGGATGAATACATCTCATATTGCTGATTTACTGGTAGTCTCGCAACTCTATTTACATACCATTTTCCATTTACTTGGTTTCGATGTATGTAGCCAACTTTTGAAAGGGATGTTTGGGTCAAGTTCAATGGTCTGGCGGTGTGGGAAAATTCAACTTTTCTTCCTCAACTCTCCTCGGCCAAGCTATGCCGACTGTATTGTTGTTTAAGAAGCAACGATAGTCTAGAAGACCACTTGAGCCGAAAGGGATCAAACAGGATAGTTCGGTCAAGCGAATTGGATGAATGAAGAAGATGAGTTGCCCAAGAGACAGCCAAAGCGGCCAGTGCTGGTGAGTCTAGACAACCGAGCCTCATTTGTAGGCTGGTCTACGAACGATCAGCTCCTCAGTGCGACATTTCTATGCTTGAGTTCACTTTGGTTTCAAGTTGAACTGTGCGCCAAAGAGGTTCGAAGGTCGTTCTCATCCGATGAAACACAGAAATGTGTGATTCTAGTTTAAAGGCTCGAGAATATTTCGGGAAGGCTAACCGACAGATGACCAGTTGAGCAAGCCTTAGATCGGTCTTCACATTTCTTCATGACACACCCTCTCGATCGACTTGAAAGGGAACTCAATAGATAGAAACCAAGAGATTTCTCGAATACCTTTTACTCCTCCTCTTTTTATTATCCTCTTCTTCAGCTCCCTATTCTTCTTCTTCCTTTTCTTCTCCTTCTTCTTCTCCTTCATCATCTTCTTCTCCTTCTTCTCTTGCCTCTCCTTCTTCTTCATAATCTTCTCCTTCTTCTCTTTCTTTTTCTTCTTCCTTATCTTCTTTTTCTTTTTCTTTTTCTTCGTCGTCGTCTTCTTCTCCTTCTTCTTTATCTTATTCTTCATATTCATCTTCTTTTTCTTCTTTTTCATCGTTTTCGTCTTCATCATCATCTTTTTCTTCTCCTTCATCTTGATCTTCTTCTTCTTCTTCGTTTTCTTCGTCATCGTCGTGGTCTTCTTCTCCTTTTTTTCATCTTCTTTTCTTCATCTTCTTTTTACTTATTCTCCTCCTCCTCCTCCTCCTTTTTCTTATTCTTCTCCTTTTTCGTTTTTGTCTTCATTATTCTCATCATCTTCTTCATTATCTTCTTTTTTCTTCTTCTCCTCCTCTTCCTCCTTCTTTTTCTTCTTCTCCTTCTTCTTCTTCTTCGTTTTGGTCTTAATCATCATCTACTTATCATTTTTCTTCTTCTTCTTCTTCTTCTTCTACTACTTCTCCTTTTTCTCCTTCTTCCCATTTTTTCTTCTTCTCAATTTTATCCTTCTTTTTCATCTTCTTAATTTTCGTCTTCTTCTTCTTCTTCTACTTTTTCTTCTTCTTCTTCTTCTATTTCCTCTGGTTTTTGAAGGTATAGAGTCATTTTCCGATAGGAACAACCGCCCATTTGTATTGCTTGAAGGGGGATTCAAGTCACGTCTCTGTTCACGACATTGTGTCCGAGTGATTGAGTCGACAATGACCGTTGGCACAGTCACCAACTAAGGTTCTCTTCTTTTCTTGCATTTTGCTCGTCAAGACCGACCGTAATGTACTCAATTGGGCACCGAGTGAACAGCTCAAGTTTGGGCCAAAAGTCCGAGACAGCATGTTGTTGGAGGCAGTGAGATGGGATTTGAACAGAATGCGGGAGGAGCATCCGCCCTCGATCGAGATTTCGCCCGATCTTCTACGACTTGACCCGATGGCGGAACGGGACGTGGAAGCCGCCTCCACTGGCCAGACGACGGAACTCGTGGACACGCTATCAAAGGTGAGAATACAAAGTACAGTTCATTCACGCCTAACCAGTTTCCGTTTGTGCCCTCGGCTCTCCCGGTACTACTCATGAGTACTGCTTTTTTACGTGGTATTTAGCAATTAATCACACGTACATGTATTTCAAATGTCCTGGTTCGCGCAAAAATGCCACGATTATTATGTTTTTCTCATGCTCTCCAGTATTACTGATTTACATTCAGTAGTATTTATCATGTCATGCATTGAGGTAGAGTAGAAAGCGGACAAGGCATATATGCCAAGGAGTTTTGTGAACATACAATATTTACGGAAGCTTGATTAATTTGTCTCAGTTTGTGGAGATGCTTGTATCATAGTGAGCATCTACAAGTTTGCAGACATCAAGCGTCACGACCTGCTCTTCTGGAAGATGATCCAGACAAGATGCTCGTGACGGAATTCCGAAATGTGGTGGTTGAATTGGCCATTTTGGCGGGATTTCTGAAATTCCAGCCATCTATGCCCAAACATTGGCGTCACATGGCTGATGGGTTGGTCTGTATTTCATTCATTTCGCACGTATTTTCCTCTTTCGGCAGCCGCAATCGTTGTCAACCCCGAGGCAAAAGAGTGAGATGCGCTTCGGGCCGAACATTCGAGACAGCATTTTGCTGGACGCCATTCGATGGGACCTCGAGAACTGGTGGTCGCAGAATAGCGCCGAAGTGTCCGATGCTTGGACGCCCAGCGCCTCGGAGGAGACAGAAGCAGAGGCGGATGACCACAAGAAGGAAATCGGCGTAAGTCAAAAAATACTCATCCTTAATCTCCAAAAGTTTTGCGATAATTTAATCTTTTCACATTTTGCTAATAAATGTATTTAAAATAACTATTGGTCGCGGAATATTGCCCAAAAATGTGCTCACCAACTTGTTCATCAAGGGTTTGAATAAATTATCATTAATTACTCACTTGTATACCAGAATGTATTCACTGGTCCATTTGCTCCACGACTTCTAAAAATAGGACTTTTTCGGCATTTCTGTGGATAATCCGGAGCAAAATATATTAAAAATAGCCAAATATTCTTGAAATACATATTTTATGAAAGCAATTCACATAGCTCAGCACATTCTAAGCTACACAGCAAGCCAGACTTGACTTAAAAGCACAATTAAAGAATACACAATCTTGTGAGTACAAAAAAGAAGCAAGATTCCTCTGCGATGTGGCCTACCGTCTTTTCTTCTGTCAACAAATTGCCTCTAATCTATCCTCAAAAAGGCAGGCCTTGCAGTTTTAGCAACAACTTTCCAAGTGGACTGGCCCCATTAGAAGGTACCGTTTCAGAAATGGTGTTGTGCTGAACTAAAATGGCCATCGGAGGTTTGGAATAAACGCCGGAGGTAGAACCCAAGTCGGCGAAACTTCAAGGCTCGTCCAATGAACTGAAGCTGACCCTTCCAATAGCCTCTGATGCTCACTTTAGCCTACAACATTTATTTGTCCAATTTCAAGGATTAGAGAAATTGTAAAATTTAAATTAAATTTCAAAATTTGATAAGATTTTATTTCAGGTTATTTTTAGTATCTTTGTGCTATGTTTATAATTTGAGCATACCACTCTCTAGCCTATCATTCAAATTAATTTCTTTCACAGGTTTTCGCGACTGGGCTTCACCAATACCTCAGAATCCCTTACAGCATCCAAGATGAGATTATCTATTTGTGCTGTTCTATGGGTGAGTGGATGTACATTCTTTTCTGTTTTCTGACCTCATAATCATTTAAGACAATGCGCGAAGATGCCAACCAAAATGGTACTTGGCGAATGTTAATTGCTGTCTTGAAGGCAGACGAACGGCAGAGTAGGCAGCACCATCCAGAGGGCTCTTTGGGAGAGTAATGCATTTTCCCACTCATTTTCCGACTACTTTTCAAGCACTACTAGCAACGCGTTAGTATGGGCTTCGACTTCAAACACACGCACATACACACATATAAACAGACTTGGTGAAAACTGATCCGATTGCAAGAGCATCCGTGGACCGGTCTGGATTGCCGAAAAAGTTGCAATAGTGCAAGTTGAAGTTGTCAACTCTATTTGGGAAGGATCGCCAAAATGGGATTTATCGCCAGCACTTTATTAGTTCATTAAACAGGGATTAGCAATAAACGTTTCAAAAGCA